ACACACACACACACACACACACACACACACACACACACACACACACAATGAGAAAATGATGTAACTGTGTTATAATTTCAAAAAGTAAAAAAAAAAAAAAAGCAATTTATTAAAAAGAAAGGCCTTTTGGAGTGGACATATAGTTCATTGGTACAAGATTTACCTAGAACCACACAAGATACTGGACTCAAAGCTACACCACACACACACACACACACACACACACACACACACACACAAAGATCCCATTTTCTGCAATTAAATTGGCAGAGCACTTTCTCACTGTGCGCCAGTATACAGACAACCACAGTCTCTGCACTAGTGGTTCTCAGGGTTGGCTGCATGGGATACGCCCAAGAGTATTACAAATCGTCAACCTCCTGGCTCATGCCCAGGGCAATTTTCTTTCAGCTGGTCTGAGTACCAGCAAGTTTTAGAAGTCCACAGGTGATCTCAGTGAACCCTTAGGCTTGAAAGTCCCTCACTGAACTGCCTGCATCCCCTGCACTTGCGTCTCTTGTAGTATTAAATTCTGTTCAGCTTTGAGCAGAATGAAATAATGCCAAGTCTCTTCATTATCTCAGGCCAATCTCATAATCGGTCATGGCAGACCCACGATGGCGAGAACAGACCAAAACGGACTGGACTGGGTTCGTTTAAAAAAGAAAAACAAAAGCAGAACAGACAATGCTATATACTTCTTGCTGAAATTTACCTGCTATAAAAGTACTATCTGCTTTCTGCTAAAACTTGCCTGCTATAAAACAAAATTAATAAATTACTCCAGGGCTAGGTTTACAGCTGTCACAAGTTATGCGACAGCTGCCTGGGCTAGCTCTCTTCTCTTATACACAGCCCTGTTTCCTAGACTCTGAGTTGTGACATACAGGGGTCACATAACTGATATGAGGTTCACTGGGTGTACCAACCAGGCCTAAGGACAGGCCCTATTCCCAGCAATAGAGGGCTAACACAAAACAGAGTCAATAGCATTTTTGGAGGTTTCTTATCTCGTTAATGCTTTGTTTGGGTAGTATTTCCATTTATGTTTCTCTTCCTTTTTTCCACCCTATAGGTATTTTGCATATAAATTATGGTTTCTGTTTTTATGAAATTGTGTGTGTGTGTGTGAATGTGTGTGTCTTTCTATCTATCTATAAATTTCTTGAGCTTTTTCTGTGGCTGTTTTTCCCCTGTTCATTTGCATCGTCCTATCCCACAGTTTTTATTTTATCATATTTCATTTATATTATTTTTTTTAGATTCCTGATTGCATTCTAATGAGAGAGAAGAAAAAAGATAGGGTGTAGATTTGGGTGGGTGGGGAATTGGGGAGGATCTGGAAGGAATTGGGGGAGGGGAACCATAAGCAGAATATATCCTATAAAAAAAACTTTTTTACATCAAAAAAAAATTCCTGCCTTGGGTCTGCTTGCAGTGACTCTTAACATAACCCCTTTTAAAAATTTGAGTGCTACCCTTTGGTCTGATTTTCTTACAGCTTGTCCATTAAAGCTGTAAAGGCATACAGTATGCTGCAACCTGAGCCATTGGTTTGCTTATTTTTAGTGTCCTCCTTTGATAGCTTAGATGCAAACTTCCCCTTTTCCCCCAAATATCTATTTTATTTTATTTTGAGACTTTATAAAATTTATTTTTAAATTTGTTACAATTTATTCACTTTGTAGTCCACCTGTAGCTCCTCTCTCTCATCCACTCCCAATCCGGCCCTCCCTTCCTCTTCTCCTCCCATGCCCCTCCCCTAGTCCACTGATAGAGGAGGTCCTCCTCCCCTTCCCTCTGGCCCTAGCCTATCAGGTCTCATTAGGACAGGCTGCACTGTCTTCCTCTGTAGCCTGGTAAAGCTGCCCTCCCCCCTCAGGGGGAGGTGATCAAGGAGCCAGCCACTGAGTTCATGTCAGAGACAGTCCCTGTTCCTCTTAAAGATGCAAACATTCTTAAACATAGTATTTGTAGCCATTTCCCCCCAACAGCTGGACATAGATTAGAAAATGCTGACAGCAGAATACAAAGAAAAACAAAACAAATTGGCTTTCCACTCAAGATGCCTTGTCTGTTCCTTATGATTTGCACTCTCTGTCTCTCTGTCTCTCTCTCTCTCTCTCTCTTTCTATCTCTCTCTCTCTCTTTGACAAATTATAAAGTTGTACAAACATCTAAGGAATTTTTCATTAAATTTTAAGGAAATCCATAGACTTTTGGATGGGATTTGGTATTTTCTTTGGGGTTCTGTGAATGGAATTGATTTATTTGTTTTATTGGTTTCTTATTTCATTGACATAGTTGGAGGAGACATCACCCATGGCCTCGAACTGCCCTATGGTGATAGTAATGAAACAGCATAACATAAGAATAGATAAGTATGTAGATCTATGGAATGAAACAGCAGATCCAGAAATACAGCCACACCTTCTGAGTTTTAATAAAGTTGCTATGAATATATTTGGAGGGGTCCCTTTAGCAACTTGTGTTAGGAAAACAGGATGTCCACACAGAGAAGCCTAAAACTAATCCTTGCCCTTTCCCCTAGACAAATGCTCACTCAAAATGGGCAAGATGCTTTAACTCCAAATTTGAAAAGCT